ACAATCAACTACACCGCCTCCACTCGACGCTCACCGCTCTCCGTCGCCGCCCTTCACTCGTCGTTGTTTGTCACCATCCTCCACGCTTCGTCGATGCCATCCTCGGCCGAATCTGGCAGCTGAGACGATTTTAATAAGTAAAAACTTTGACATAAACTTCAATTTTTTGTGCATGAATCAGGAAATGAGCGACAAAAATGAGAGAAAGGGTTGCGAGAGTGCAAGTTGTGGAATGAAGGGAAAGAGAGAGAGAGAGAGGGAGAGAGAGAGAGAGAGAGAGAGAGAGAGAGAGAGAGAGAGAGACGAGGATGAGAGAGAGGAAAAGAAGAGAAAATGTATGTGAAATGGGGAAGAAAGTAGGAGAGAGAAAAGAGAAAGGAAAAAAAGTGAGTTGCAGGAGAAAAAGAGAAATGGAGAGGAAAACGAAGGAGAAAAAAAAAGTGGGTTGTTTGAGAGCATGGAGACAGTCTCAATAATTTTTTTCTTTTAATATTGTGGTGGGTCAACCTGCCTAGCCCGTGGGCCGTAGCGGGGGTGGGTCGGGCTGGCCATATAAAGGTTGTTCAATAAATGAAGAAATCAAACTTTAAGAGATAAGGAAACATCAGATCATTGAATGCTCAATACGGATCATGCATAAACATCATGAAATGATAGACAACTTTTTCTTGGTTCAAAACCCTAGGGTTACAAATCAGGTAAGAGACATATATATATATTATAATATTTCTAATCATGCGGTCTACACTTCATCACAGCTTCTCTTGCTCTCATTGGTAGCATGTGCATCTTCATTGTGCTTCATTCTCTTTCCCTCAGCTACTTCATTATGACATGTCATTGACTTTTGTTGACTTTCCATTTCCATGCATGCACTCTTCTACTGAGGTGGATCTGCTCGAGCTTTGTTCATGCAGCTTGTGTAAGCACGTCTGCCACATATGCTATCATCCCCCCTCAAGCCAAAGGAGGGAAAAGGGACCGGTTGAAGGAGGTTCTTGAACCGAGTGAAGGCTTGCAGTGACAGAGGATTAGTAAAGACATCACCAACCTGATTAATAGATGAAACATGAAGGACTTTAAGAGTTCCCTTAGCAACTTGTTCTCTCACAAAATGCAGGTCTATTTCTATATGTTTGGTACGTGCATGAAGCACTGGATTGGATGAAAGAGAGATAGTACTAAGGTTATCAACCGAAACAATGGGGGTGTGAGGGCAATGTGTGTTGAGTTCCTTCAATAGAGATGTTATCTATGTGATTTCAGCTGAAGCTTGAGCAAGACTCTTGTATTCTGCCTCTGTACTGGATCTAGATATGGAATTTTGTTTCTTAGAACACCAAGACACTGGATTTTTACCAAGATAAATACAAATACCTGAGGTGGACCTTCTATCATCAAGGTCATTGGCCCAATCCGAGTCTGAGAAACCAGTGAGGTGAGTGCTTGAGTTCTTTGTGTACTGTAAGCCATAGAAGAGGGTACCAGCAAGATACCTTAGTATCCTTTTAACAGCTTTCCAATGGGTGTCTTTGGGGCTCTGCATGTATTGACAAACCTTATTGACACTGTAGGATATGTCTGGTCTTGTAATGCAGGCATATTAAAGTGATCCAACAACACTTTTGTATAGTGTAGGGTTATCCATTGGAGTGCCTTGATGTTTAGACAGAGAAGAGGTGGATATCATTGGAGTAGGGAGAGGGTTGGCTTCAATCATGTTTATCTTGGTTAGAATGTCCTTGATGTATTTGGACTGACAGAGTTTAAGACCAGTATTGGTGTGGTGGATTTCAATACCAAGAAAGTGATGTACCTGACCAAGGTCTTTTAAGGAGAATTGCTGCTTAAGAGTTCCAATAACAGTTGAGATGGCTGTAATGTTAGATCCTGTGATGAGTATGTCATCCACATAAACAAGAAGCCATATGTAAGAGGAGTTGGTTTGTTTAATATATAGAGAGCAATCATATGTTGAGTTATGGAATCCAAAAGACAAGAGAGAGTGTTTGAGCTTGTTAAACCATGCTCTAGGTGTCTGTTTCAGGGCATAGATAGACCTGTTAAGTTTGCAGACAAGATGAGGATTTGAGGAATCTTCAAAGCCAGGTGGTTGTGCCATATAAAGGTCCTCTGTGATCTCTCCATTGAGGAAAGCATTGTTGAAATCTAGGTGTTTAATACACCAACCATATGAGAGAGCTAAGAAGAGTACAATTCTGATTGTTGTTGGTTTTACAACTGGACTAAAGGTCTCATAGAAGTCAATTCCAGTTGTTTGACTAAATCCCTTAGCAACTAGCCTGGCTTTGTGTCTTGCCACACTCCCATCTGCATGTCTCTTGAGTTTGAACAACCATTTGCAACCAATTATTGACCTGTTGGGTGGAGTGACAAGGGTCCAGGTGTTGTTATGAATAAGAGTCTGGTATTCTGACAGCATAGCTGCTTTCCAAGTGGGGTGATTGAATGCTTTTTTGTATGTGGATGGCTCTTCCTGAATAACTTGAGCTGCAAAGAGTCTTGGCTTAAGAGAACCTGTCTTTGACCTGGTTATCATATGGTGTTTGGCAACAGGAACATTAGTAGGAACAGTGGACTCAATGGTATTGTCACTCAAAATTGGTAACAAGTATATGGTGTTTGGCAACAAGTATATTTTGTATAATGATCAACAACATAGTATTGAGAACCATTTTTCGATTTGATAGGTGATGGACCCCACACATCAGTGTGTACAAGTTCAAGTGGACAAGTATATACAGCATCAGAGGGAGCATAAGGTAAAGAGTGAGCTTTATCTTGTTGACATGAACCACAAATAAACTTGTCATTAACAGAAACTGAAATATTACATGTTCTCGTGACCTTAGAAACAACATCAAGAGCAGCATGCCCTAGTCTAGAATTCCATAAGGCCAAATCATTGTTCTTATTGAAAATAGCAACATTAGCAGAAAGTAAAGGATATGTGGTAGGCTGTTGTGGCACTTGTGGAGAGGATTTTGAGCAGTTGATATCAAAGTTGTATAGACCTCCCTTAAGAGAACCTTGGAGAAGAACCTGATGTGTGGCTTGATCCTTGACAAAACAAAGAGTGGGATAGAATTCAACGTAAACTGAGTTATCATGAGCAAATTGAGATACACTCAAAAGATTCTTTGTTATGTTAGGAACATATAGAATATTTTTAAGGATAAAAGATCTAGAAGGATTAGAGGGGTGTTTGAAGTTTGAATTGCCAATATGTGAGATAGATAAACCTGAGCCATTACCAACATGCAGCATGTTGTGTCATTGGTACTTTGTGGCAAGGTTGAGGTTTGACAGGTCACTAGTGACATAATTAGAGGCCCCTGAGTCTGCAAACCAGAAAGAGTCTGGGTTAGGGTCAGGTGACACCACCAAGGCATTGTGAGGTGGGGGCTGAGAATATGTGAGAAGTCCAGTGGCTTGAGTTTGTGTTGTCTGAGCTTGCATTGTAGTAGGTGGTGGGTATGAAGAATCATATCTGTGGTAGCACCTTTCTGCAGTATGGTTATTGAGGCCACATAGTTGACAAGAAGGTCTGTTCTTAGTGTTTTTGTAGCCTCTGCCACCTCTTCCTCTATAGCTGTTGTTCCTGCCTCTACCCCTTTGAGATGGAGAATATCCCTTTGTGTTGGAGAAGTTTGGGAAGTGGGATTGTGGTTTCTGTGTATGGGAGTTTTGAGAGGCCATATTGACACTGGGAATGGAGCCATCTGGGTTGACAATAGAGGGTGTAGTGACATAAAGCCTGGATTCAAGGCTAAGCAACATGGCATATAGTTCATTCAAGGTATATGGCTCCACTCTTGAGGTGACTGCAACCACTGTTGGGTTATATTCACTTCCTAGACCCACAAGGATGTAGAGAATCTGATTTTGCTCAGACACAGGTTCACCAGCAACTCCTAATGCATCACAACAAACTTTCACTTTTCCTAGGAACTCTCTCATGGTGCTAGATCATTTCTTCAATGTTTGTAGTTGAAGTTTATTATGCATAAGTCTGGCTTTAGACAAACCTGAGAAGTTGGATTCCAAGGATAACCACACATGTCGAGATGTGTTCTTTCCAACCATCATAATGAGTAGATTTTCACTCAGTGAGGATAGAAGCCAAGACACAAGGAGTTCATCTTGTCTTAGCCATGTTGCAAAGGCAGGGTTGAGGGTGGGTTGGGAGGAATTTTCAGATGAGATGACCCTCTGTGGTGGTACACAATCTGCAGCAATGAAGTTTTCCAGTCCATAGCCAACAATAGCACTGTAAGTTTGTTGTTTCTAAAGTAAATAGTTAGCATCTATAAGCTTAATAGAGATGATTTGGTGTTGAGGATGAATAAATGAGGTGTTGCCGCCGGCTATGGGGTTACTGGTGCTATCAGAGGATGTTTGTGAAGCCATGGACTTAGTAGAATGGTGGATCTGAGAATACAAGATGGATCTGAGATTCAAAAATGCATATCAGCTTAGGTAAGGTCAAGATCTGAGAATAATGAGTTGAAAGTGACTTGAGATTCAAGATTTAATGCCAGATCAGGGCTCTTGATACCATGTTCGATAAATGAAGAAATCAAACTGTAAGAGATAAAGAAACATCAGATCATTGAATGCTCAAAACAGATCATGCATAAACATCATGAAATGATAGACAACTTTTTCTTGGTTCAAAACCCCAGGGTTACAAATCAAGTAAGAGACATATATATATATATTATAATATTTCTAATCCTGCGGTCTACATTAATCACAGCTTCTCTTGCTCTCATTGGTAGCATGTGCATCTTCATTATGCTTCCTTTTCTTTCCCTCATCTACTTCATTATGACATGTCATTGACTTTTGTTGACTTTCCATTTCCATGCATGCACTCTTCTGCTGAGGTGGATCTGCTCGAGCTTTGTTCATGCAGCTTGTGTAAGCACGTCTGCCACATATGCTATCAAAGGCCCACCAATATGGCATGCCAGCCCACTCCGCCGGCTCGTTTTGACATGTATAATCTCAGGGAAATTAAGCCTCGCATGGGAAAAACCATGTGGCACCACTTCATTGGTCCACATCTCATAACCGCCTTTGATACATTTTGACAGAGATCGGACTATAGGGCAGCTCGGGCAGCCAACTGATCATCACATCTGGGCAGCCTTTTAGTAGCAGGTACCTTGCCCTTATACATAGAGGTGAGATATGTGATTTTACATTACTACGTTCATATTACTTTATTTTAAAACAGTTCAACTTCTACACATACTCATTTAAGCATCAGAGGTTTTCACTGGAAAATCCCTCCGGTGTGAGTTTTTGCAGGTCTAAAGTCGTTCAACCGGCAAGGAAGCACGTGACTCGTGAGCATGCCGATTTCCTGTTGGTCGGAGGTTTTTACGTACCACACTCCCTCCACTTTTAACCACCTTTTATCAATATGAAACTTTTTTTTTTCTTAACCCTAGTAAATGTCTATGTTTGCGAAACCAGCATACCATGATCAGAAGCACTACTCTTGAACTGATTACTCACATCAACATTAGGATGAGGAGTTAGCCAATCAAAAGACCCAAACACTCTATCTAATTTCTCCTTCACATACCCTTCAATGTCTCTATTGTTCCTTCAAGTAAAGCTATGGTCTACATTCAGATATTCATCATGTTCATCTTAGCTATAAAATTATTGAACCACAAAAAGATGTTTTTAAGACACTACATCCTTTCGTTTCATGAGCCCCACAAATTTCATTTCAGTCTCCTCTCATGATACCCCACTTCCCTCTTGCCTCCTCAAGGGTCTTTCGCTACTCTTCTCTAATTTTTCTATCAGTGCTAGCATAAATCAGAATTATCCATTCGAACTCACTTCAGAACAAAATTGATAAGTGAAGGACTTGAACCACTACTACTTTCTTATTCCACACTAGTAATAAACTCTCACTCAAACCTTGAAGTTCAACAACCTTCCACCTATCTTGAAACCCAAGCTTACTACAAATTGTTGGAAACTTAAATAAATATATAAAATTAAGAAATAGCTACCGTCATGAACTTGGAGAAAAAGGAACGTGGGGCAAAAGAAAAATATAAGAAAAAGAAAAAACAAAATTGCTTTAGTCAAAGCTTTAATTAATAAGCTTTTTACAAACCCTAGCGTTGTCGGTTACTGCCCCACATATATACCGGCAAGCCCTCCATTTCCATCTCCAAGGAAAACGAGAAATCTGACGATTTTGTGTGGGTAATGGTGTCGCTCAAGCTCCAAAAGCGGCTCGCCGCCAGTGTTCTCGGCTGCGGCAAAGGCAAAGTATGGCTCGACCCCAACGAGTGCAGCGAAATCTCCATGGCTAATTCTCGTAAGCCACATTCTCCTTCCATGCTCACCTTAGTGTGTAAACGCTTCTGTGATTTACTGTTTGTTTGTAGCTCGCTTTCAGAACATGGAATTGGGCTATCTGGAGAATTAAGTTTCTTTTTCTGTTCTGGACCTTTTTATCGGATAAATTTCGGGTTTTGTTTCCGAGCTTGATGTGCTTTTTTATCTGGGTTTACAGTAAATTAACGAGCTTGATTTGATTTATTTTTCCGGGTTGATCGTAAATTGATGAGTTGGTGCGTGTTGGATGTAATTGAGTATTTCTGGTCACATACTAGGTTCTTGTTGGATATGATTGATAATTTTGTCAATCACAGATGAGTTTGATATTGAATTTCCTGTTATTGGTTATCCTGCGTCTCGTCTGATTACTGTTTCCTGATTGCATAGTCCAATAATTGTGATGAACATTTTGTGGTTAGCTTTCCGGTAGTCTTGAACTTTGCTGTTGCCCGGCACTTGATTATGTTGAAGAGTGAGTGGTGTCGATATTTGATTGAATTTGCAAGGGATTATGAGTCTTAAGCATAAAATGTCTCACCTTGTGTATGTGGATATGTTCGACCTTGTTCTCTACATCACCAGAACACCTTTGTATGTTCTGTTTGTTGGATAATAGATTACTGAATTCACCTGTCCTGTGATGTAATTACTATCTCTTATTTTTCCTTTAAAAAATTTGAGAAAGTATAAAATTAGCCTTATTCCCTATTATGTATTGTGTCTTCATTTTCATATGTTAAATTGTTCATAAAGGAATGAGAGCTAAACCTTCTTTAGTTCATGATCTTACTATTAATTGGTTCAACCAACGTAAAGGAGTAGTGGTGATTAGGTGAGATAAATATGTTTTGATGCAGGACAAAATATCAGGAAGCTGGTAAAGGATGGTTTCATCATCAGGAAGCCAACCAAAATTCACTCGAGATCCCGTGCTCGCAGAATGAAGGAGGCCAAGAGAAAGGGTCGCCACTCAGGATATGGTATGGGCTACAAAGAATCCTCCTAGTTGTTTCCAACCTACACGCTTGTCTTAAAAATGAGAAGTTGTGTTTAGGTTTTTTTTTCCCTGGCCATAGGCATCATTGGTTACAAGTAAATGTTTTTAATTGGCATAAGATTGCAAAGCTTATTTAAGCTGGTTTTCCACAAGGTGCTTAATTAGCTTCATTGGTTGGGCTGATTTTTCCTTAAATGAGTTGTGCTATTTGTGAAAACCGTTTTCAATTATTTTCTTTCACTGTTCAAACTCCCCAATTTGACATCCCGATTCAATTATTTACCGAGTCACATGCATCTTACCTTGGTTTTTCCATTTCTATTTGCTACTTTATTAATTAAAGAATGAAATGGGTTTTCAGGTAAGAGGAAGGGTACCAGAGAGGCTAGGTTGCCAACAAAAGTTCTCTGGATGAGGAGAATGCGTGTCCTTAGACGTTTGCTCCGTAAGTACCGGGAGGCAAAGAAGATTGACAAGCACATGTACCATGATATGTACATGAAGGTTAAAGGTAATGTGTTCAAGAACAAGAGGGTGCTCATGGAGAGCATCCACAAGTCCAAGGCTGAAAAGGCTAGGGAGAAGACCCTGTCCGATCAGTTCGAAGCCAAGCGTGCTAAGAACAAGGCGAGCAGAGAGAGAAAGCATGCCAGGAGAGCGGAAAGATTGGCTCAGGTAAATGCAGGATTACTTTTTCCACTAGAAAATGCTTTGGCATTCATCAACAGTGTTTATATTTTCCGTTAATGGATTAGGTTTTGATGGCTTTGGAACTATGTGAATATATTCAAGGAGGCGTAATTGATTTTTGTGATTTGAGAATGAGAGGATGCACGATACTTTTTCTGCAAGTCTCAGTTAGAACGTTACTATGGAATTTATTGTTTCTGATTTGTGTATAGTAGTCTGAAGTTAATGAGATACAGTACCTGCACCATGAAAACTACCACCAAGTTTTTTGAAAGAGAATTTGGTCTTTCACGGTTGCTGAAATTTCGAGTTTTTATATTCCAATATTTAATTTTTATTTTGCACTTGTAGATTTCATATTTGGCTTACAATGCTTTTCTATATTTTTCTCAGGGACCTGGAGAGAGAACACCAGCAGCTACTCCTGCTGCTCAACCTACACCTACAGGGTAAAAAACTATTGCAGTTTTCACTAATGTTATAATTAAGTCAGACACAAAAAAATATATACATATATATATATATATATATTTCAACTAAAATTATGTGAAATTCTTTTTCTCAGGGGAGCCAAGAAAGCCAAGAAGTGAAGTAAAGAATACTAGTTTCTTTAGTTCATGATTGAGGCTTTGCTGCCGTAGGCATTTTGTTCATACAACTATGCATGCTCGAATTTTCCGCATTACATTCGTTATTCATGGTTTTGTTGTTTTGAGAAAGAACTGAATTGTTGCAAAGGAACTTGGAACTTGTCATCTCGATGCTGAAGGATATCATTTGTCTACTGATTTTGCAATGATTTGTTCAAGTACCGTTCTTTACTTGGATGTCTTACTAAATTTATGCTAGTTGGGCTTATATATTAAGAAAAATTTTACCGACTTGTTGATCATTTTCATAATAATATTAATTAAAATAATTATGAGCTTGTTTGGAAACACTTCTTAAATATACTTTTGGATGCAAAAAAATTATTTGTATAAATATTTATGTTTGATGGGAAATTATGAATCCGACTTAAAGTTGTTTCTCCAAAAATCTATTATGTACAAGTAAAGGATGAAGACTTTTGGAAAAGTCCATTTTAGATAAGTTAATTTCTTAAATAGACTTTTCCAAAAGTAGCTCCAAACAAACACTAATTGTTTATGAAATAATTTGTTCAAATTGAGTTATTTTGGTTAACTATAATTAATTTTGAAAAAGGTGATATGGTTAGTTGTAGTGGAATTTTAAGAATGTATTAAAATAGTATTTAAAATAAAATAATTAAAATTAATTTGATGTAAAAGTAAAAGATAAATGATTGGAAATGATAGATAGTTAAAATTATGTGAGTTGATGAATAGTGAATTAAAGTTGATGTGATGTGTAAGAATGATTGATTTGTATTATTTAATTTTATGAATAATATTAAAGATAGTGGAGTTGGGTTAAAGTTGAGTTAGATTTTGAGTTGAAATAAAAATGAGTAAATTATTTTGTAAACAATCACCCCCTAAATTTATCATCTTTCTCCTATTATCAGCCGGTTGTCGCTAACGCCCGCTGGAAGCAATGTTGCTGCCTGCAGCATTCGTCGACCGCCATTCGTCGCCCGCCATTCGTCTCTAGATTTCACAAATCATATGTGGAAGTTTACCAGAATACTAAATTGAGATTCGACCATTGAATTTTCATGAAAATGAATAACCTAGTGTTATCTTTCACTTGTCAATCAGAGTTCTCAATCTCCGACAAGAGACTGACGAAATTTCTTGAGTATTGTAATTTGTGTCGTCAAGTTCGAAACTTCAACAAGAGATTTTCGGCAACTCAATTATCCAAAATTGATGGATGATCTAATGTTTTGTTCTTCCTTACATAGTTACATTTGATATTTTGTATTCATATTTATCGTTAAAAAAAAAAAAAAATATTTATCGTTAGAGCTCCACATTTAATATTGTTATTGTTGTTATTATTATTACTAGTGCGTGGCCCGTGCGATGCACGAAAAAATAATATTACGATTGTATTATAAATTAAATATACAAATAAATTAATCAAAATTTACCCGTTATTTTTAAATTAAACCGTGTTGGACACAGTCCGGCCGGATGAACCGAGAACATGTTTATAATCAGTCTAGTTCACTTGAATAAAATATTTGCTTTTTTTTTTGGTACAATAAAATATTTGCTATTGAATCAACACCAGTCGGTTGAACTGGTTGGATCAATATGGTTTTCTAAATAAATTTAGTTATATTTAAAATTATTTTTAATAAAATTAGATATTTAAATAAAATAGAAATTTATAAATTGTTTATCAATTAATTTAAACATTTAAATTTTTAAATTGTTTAGATATTTAAGTAACACATTTTATTCAAATTTATTGCAAAAACTATTATATATATATATATATATTAAAACGTAATCTTAAAGAAAAAAATAAATTGCATGATTTATATAAATTAATTTGTATGATTAAATTGTATGATTATATTAAAGCGTATTTATAAATTAAATTGTATGCTTTTTAAAGAAAAAATATGAAAAATAATAAAACTACTATTTATGGATAACATTGAATGTTGACCTTTTTTTGCTACTAATTTTAGTAAATATGATGGCTCTTTATATAAGTATAAATTATTATTATTATTATTATTATTATTATTATTATTATTATTATTATTATTATTATTATTATTATTATTATTATTATTAAACGATTCCATTTAAATACTTTCATAAAAATTAGAAATAAAAATCTCTGCCTTAAAATATGGAAAAAAAAAATATTTTTATTTTTTAAGTAAATAAGCTAAATACATTTTTACTTAAATTATTTTCAACATTTCTTTTATTGTCAAGTCAAATAAGTTTGACCCAAAATCACTTATTAAAAGTAAAAAAATTAATAACTTATTTCAATCAGTATAGATAGATAAAAAATTCTATGGAGCCATCCGATTGTTTTCTTATGGAGCCATCCATCACTTAATCTAGTGACACCTGTCTAAATTACGATTGTTTTCTTATGGAGCCATCCATCACTATTGGTGATTAAGTATGGATTGCTCCATAAGCCGAGCCATCCGATGGCTCCATAGCAAAACTGTAGATAAAAAATTCTATGGAGCCATCCGATTGTTTTCTTATGGAGTCATCCATCACTTAATCTAGTGACACCTGTCTAAATTGTATTTATTGTAGGACACGTGTCAATGCACTATTGGTGATTAAGTATGGATTGCTCCATAAGCCGAGCCATCCGATGGCTCCATAGCAAAACTGATAGATAGATAAATGAAAGGTTAAACATAAACAATTATATTTAAAATAAAATTAAAAAACAAAAAATTGCAGTAAACTTAAAATTACTGTAATTACGAAAAATTGGAATAAAATAAAATTATTCTTTGTTTCCCTCCCTAACTACTGCTCGAAGGTTTACCCTAACCCCGCCTCAATCTTCATTCTTCCCATTCATAAATTCGATTGGCTTTTGATTCTCATTTACTTCAAATTTTTTAACTGATTGTTTCAGGCTCTACGATTTTAACTGTTTATTGAAGCTATTGAGATGGCGGCATCAGCAGTGAAAGCCGGCTCACTGGTTAGGTTACAAGAACTGAGCCCTTCTTCCCCAAACTTCAAGCATGGCGCTTCATTTAGGGTTACTGGAAAGTGGGTATTTCGCAGATACCATCTTAAGTTTCATTTGCTCTTCGGAAATTATTTTGTGACTGCCATTTTCGTTTATTTTCTTGCCATTTTACTAGAAATTGGGTACTTTTTTTATTTTTCAGAAATGGATTTCGAGCTTTTTTTTAAGGATAATATATTTCGTTTGAGTAGTTCTCCAGTGAAAATTTGTTGAATCTTGTGGGGTAAAAAGTTTTGATGCATTATGTTTAAGCATGTTGAAAAATTCTGTGTATTCTATATTGCACGATCACACGTTAATGCTTGGAAAGATATTTTGTCGTTTTTCTGTATTTTCTCAATTATAGGCTGCAAGATTACGATTTGGAGACAGCAATTGCTGTAATAGTCGATGAAGGTGCCAGCTTAAAGGTTGACACTAAGCACTTAAACATCAATATTCGCTCGGGTTCCATCTATCAGTTTATCGGGGAACTCCATATTGAACCTAATAATGAGGTACGGTGTTTTGATTTTTATTTGAGATACTCTGATTTATACGAGGTACAATTTGATTTTATTTGCATTCCATTAAATCAAAATCTTGACTACTCTAGTTTTTATGAGGCTTTCCGGTAACAATGCCTATACTGATAAAATATGTATATGTGTTGGTCTCGTTTCCTTTGTTTTGTTTTGTGTTTTTTTTTCTTGTTCTGTTGTTGGTTTACTGCATTTGTTATTTATTTCAGGCTATTTTGAAGGCTCGGGTGGGTCGAATTGTGGATGGGTTGGACATTAACCTCTACAATCAAACACTTCAGCTACTAAAGGAGTTTGTAGCTGAACAAATAAATTCTCAATCGGCTTAAGAGTACATGCCTGATATTAAGAGGTCAGTACGGTGTTCAGTTACTAAAATCGGTAAAACTTTGATGTTCAGTTGAGTTAATGAAATTTTGGAAATATGGCTGCAAAAAATACTGCATGATCCACTTTATGGAGTGTTTTGCATTGTAATTTTTAGGATAATTACAGGTATTACAGAAAAACCCATTTCTCTTCCAAAATTGCAAAATACTCTCGTGAGCTACAAGAAAATACAAAACTCACGCCAATGAGTTTATGTTTTTCTCCCAAGAAACAAAGTAAATCTCTATGGAGTATCCTTTTTAAAATAAAAACCCATCGTTGGTGCGATGTTATTTTTTTCAAGATGGTTTCTGGACATTTCTGTAAATTTAAGCTAAAACTTTCGGGTATTTGTAATTACTCATGATATCTATTTAGAGATGAGAAAGCACATGATTATGGGACTAGCTACCTGATTATAGATTCTGCATTTTAGCTAAAATGTAAATGTCTCCTCAAAATTTTTGCCGACTTGTACTATTTTTAAACTAGGCTTTAATCACGTTTTGAGATTTCCTAGATTCTGCATCACAGACTAATATAGTTTTCCATTTATAGGATTTGAATTTAGTTGTTTTGGGTTGAGTTCACCCTTTTTTTTTTTTTTTTCTTTTTTGACTGCTTTTATCAATAATACTAACTTCACGTGTCGTTATTTGCAGGATGACCCTCACAAATGCTTTCCAACCGAGCCTCCAACTTATGTGCATGCTCTGAATTTCTTGTGGGGTATGATTACAGAAACTCTCGTGAAGTCCAGTCTAATTACAGAAGTCTCTCATTATCTTTTCGAAATACAAGCAACATGGGGAGTAATGATATATAGAAGAGGAACTACCATGGAGAGAATTTTGTCACTTGTTCAAAGATAAATGTCAAACTTTTTTTACAAATTGGTGGATAACGAACTGTTCGACTCACTTTGAAAAGTATGAGGATATGCTTAGAAAGTAAACAAAATCGACCTGGTTAATCAATCCTACTTGTCAGACTGATTACCAGTAAATTTCAGCATTCTTATATGATTGCTCAATTCTTAAAGGTTTATTATTCTGCGGCTTGTTTGTTAGCATTATGTGCACGAACAAGAGAGACTGTTGATTTTAAAGTTGTATGTGAATCGTTAATCACAAGTCATACTATATGTTATATGTCGTATCTCGAAGTGACGTGATTTGCAAATAACAAAATCATACTATGTTATATGTTTAAGTGTATGTCATCGTTGGTACGATTGTATCATATTTACCTACTACTATTTGATAAGTTTCAAGACTAACTCTACTTCTAAAAATGAAATATAATCTTTCCTCTGTTGGAATATTATAAACTAGGTGACTAAGTTTGTGGGTGTTGTGTTGTCCACCTTTGTAATCTAACATCCACAAATTACATTTTATAATGCCAAAGCAAGACAACAACCGTGATGTAGGCCTTTTGTAGCCAAAAGATTAGGTAATTTGACGTCACTTTTGGCGGGATGGGGTGCGGTGGTCCATTGGCAATGGAATAACGGTTCGATTTTGGCGGGATAACTGGACACTTATCCTTCGTCCTCTTCTTAACGAGGCATTGGTTCCTGTCACTGAACATCAACTTGATTGGACAGTTAGTGACTTTGTTGATGCCTTGGGCCAATGGAGGTGGGACCTCTTTAGCCACTTGGTGCCGGCCGGTATATTGTTGCGAATAGTAGCGCTCCTGCTACCATCGAAGCTTGCTGGGCCAGGACACGATATATTGGGGGCATTTTGTTTTGCAGCGTGGTTATCGCGAAGCGAATTTTGTTGTCGATTTTAGAAAAGGAAAGGAAGAAAAAAATAGAAGTTACTAACTTGAAATCCACTTCTAAAAGAAGTTTTAATAGTTGTTTTGAATGTGTCGATGTAGCGTAATGATGGTCGGAGCTATCTCCTGAGAAATTGCTAAATACTTTCTCACCGACCGTACCAATAGGAATGGGGGACCTGCACTATGAGAAAGCTGTGCGAAAAACCGCTTCTTTTTTCCGGTTCCGAAAGAACTTGGGCGAAATAGGGTTCTACCGGGAAAGCATGGATTTTTGAGTTTTCCCCATTGGTTACTGGTTGAGTTTGCGTTCTGTCGCTTTCTCGCTTCGCTAAAGTCTTTCAGCTTTGGAGCACCTAAGAAAGAGCTATCTTTCTTGTGTTATATCTATAGTTTCGGATATCAAACCGGACGGTATCGTATATGAAGAAAGAGATTGTTGACGCTAGTAGACTAATCTATTCATTGGTTCTTCCAGTGACCAATGAAAGGGAATGCCTTTTTCTTTTTCTTTCTTATTTCTCGTGAATGAAGGAATCATTACTCCTTCCTTGTCAGTTAAGTCTTCGGCCTATTGATTGACGGCGCAACGGCCTGGCGGAGTTCAGCGTTTGGACGATCCTCTATCGGGAGTGATGACTTGGCTTGCTCATGATGTGATATAGGTGTCGTACCCCAGTGGTCTCGTCGTAATTAGGTTTTACCTACTTTTCTTATACAGAAAAAAAAAAGTCGTGCCTTAAAATTTCAAATAAATAACTTGTGTTTAACTTGCAACTGAATTAAAAATCATTATTTATTCTGTAATTTCCCTTCATAGTTCATACTTTGTTTGAAGTATTTATAAGTGCTTTTTTATTTTGTTTGGTAAACTATATGCTCTAAAAACAACATCCTGTAAGCTTCTAATATGGTTTGATAAAGAGGGGGATTTTATTATTATTACTCTTACTACAAGAAAATGATGAAATTCCAACGGAAAATTTCAACGAAAATATATTCTAATGAAATTTAAACGGCAATTCCAATTGATATTTCAATAATATTATTTCCGTTAAAATTTTTCAATGAGTTCCAACTGAAATTCCACCAAAAATATTTTTATTAAAATGGGGTTTTCATTAGAAATTCCGTTGAATTTTGACGATTCGAACAATAAATTTTTCGACTGAGTGGAAATAAAATAAATCTAGCTATTAATAAATCTTTATTAACCATAATGATTGCCACCCAATTTTTTTTTTTTTTTTTTT